GGTGGTCTCTCCTTCATGAGTCAAAATCATATATATTTATACTAATATTCTGTGTATACGCACACATAAATCTATTATTCACTGAATCTGCTTTACTAAACATATCTTTTTCTTAACTACTAATTTAATACATTTTGTCCAAATCTCTTTTCAACTAGACAAATCCATGAATACCAAACAAATGTAAATTAGTACACAAACAGGGTCAAATTTAGCAATAAAACCTGGTGAACTAGTTTAGTGAAAAGTCTTTTCCTATGCAAATGAAAGCAAACAATGAAACTAGGCCTCAACTCATTCACACCATGTGGTCAATGGTGGATTAAAATCCACATGGTCAGACAAAAAGTAAAATAGTTTTTTGTTTTATATATATAAAATGACCAAAGGTTGGTAAAACGTAACAAGCAACACAATAATTCATCACTATGTTCTACAACAAGAGATACCTTAAAAAACAAATATCTAATCCCTATCTGCTATCTGCATTCATTCCATTAAAACCAAATCATCATTCATTTATTCATTTGTATACAGACAGACAATTTACAGTATGATTTAAGCAAAATGCATAACATTTATATTTTCCCCAATATTCAAGCATAATCCTGCCGACTACGCCAAATGTTGTGGTGTGACCTAAATATGAATATTAATCTCTTAATACATAATAATTAAGCAATACGGAACAACATTAATATTTTTATAATTCATGGTATTATGGTCTAATATGTGGATAGAAAATACACAAAACGTTGTAATATTAAATGTATATTTAATATAACTATAATAAATAAACAGATGCTAGCGGAATGTCAATTTCAATAATTATACAATACAATACTACACAAAACACTATTGGTTGCTAAATATTATACAAAAGGCTATTACAATTGCTAACTGTTACAATACAAACATATTACTTACAAGGCCCCAGCCCTTTGGCTGGGGTTAAGTCAGAGCTGGTACTACATCTTAGGTTCAGTCAGTTACAGGCAAAGGGGCAAAGAAAAAGAGCTTTCTCCTCCATCTGGTTTTATTCAGTGTAAGTAGGCTGGCCTGTGATGTCACTGCCAGAAGCACATGTCTTCCTACACACTCCCTCTAGTGGTGCCCCCAAAGCATTACACTAAATATGCTTTCTTTATGATGTAAAGTCATTAATTAGTAAATACCATTACACAGACACACAAAAAAAATGCCACACTGCAGAGCTCTGCAATGACGGCATTCTGGTGGTATGATATGAGTGGCACTGTAAACTGGCAGAGTACACGCTGTAGGGCTGACACACCCACTTTAACCCCTTAAGACCGCAGGGCGCTCTATGCCTTCCTTATTTAGATGGCTCTAAAAGCCGCAGGGCAGCATAGAACGCCCTGCGATCATATGTACTTACCCGGTCGCCGGCGTGGGTATGGAGACTCACCTGGGACTCACCCTCCGCCCTCTTCAGCCCCCATGGGCCATCGCAAGGACCTCGCGATCACATGGACGGCAGAGCCGTCCAAGGCATTGCCAGCAGATGTAGTGCCTGTAATGAGAGGTACTCCCCCTGCTGTCTGAAAAAAAAAAAAATGAAAGTTTGAAACAGTTGAAAATTTAATTGTATATACTTAGATTATATATATATTTATTATATATGTGATCTAAGTATATATAAAAATGTATTACAACGACGATATTGTCAGTGACAGTGACATTTTTTGCCTTTTTCCACACACAAATGGCACTTACACTGACGATATAATTGTTGTGATACGTTTTACTGTTTTGAAACACTAATATTTGTGTTCAGCGAAGTCTCCCGAGTATAACAGTACCCCTCATGTACAGGTTTTATGGTGTTTTCAAAAGTTACAGAGTCAAATATAAGGCTTGCGTTTCAGTTTTTTTTTTTAACATTACAATTCGCCAGGTTGGTTATGTTGCCTTTGAGACCGTACGGTAGCCCAGGAATGAAAATTACCTCCATGATGGCATACCATTTGTAATAGTAGACAACCCAGGGTATTGCAAATGGGGTATGTTCAGTCTTTTTTAGTAGCCATTTAGTCACAAACACTGGCCAAAATTGGCGTTCAAATTAGTTTTTTGCATTTTCAAATATTAACACTAACTTTGGCCAGTGTTTGTGACCAAGTGGCTACTAAAAAAGACTGGACTTACCCCATTTGCAATACCTTGGGTTGTCTACTTTTGCAAATGGTATGCCAACATGGGGGTAATTCTTATTCCTGGGCTACCATATGGTCTCAAAGGCAACGTAATCAATCTGGAGAATTTCAATGTGAAAAAAATGAAAAATGTAACACGCTATATTTGACCCTGTAACTTCCCAAAACACCATAAAACACCATGTAACCTGTAACCTGTTTTACACGTGAGATATCTCTGAATACAAATATGTGTATTTTATTGCAGTAAAAGCAAACAGTATTCTGACATTCACAGTTAAAATGTCACGTAGAACTAAGAAATTTTTTTTAAAATCTTATTTTCTCCCATTTTTTTTATATTTTATCCATATTAAATTATGTTCCATACCTAAATATTTGATGTTAAATGAAAGCCCTGTTTCCCCTGAATAAAATGATATATAATAAGTGTGTGTGCATTTAATATGAAAGAGGTGAATTACGGTTGGACAGACATATAGCGCAAATGCCAGGTTTTGTTTACATTTTGATCACAACTTATACATTTGGCTGCGGTCTTAAGGGGTTAAGGACACTAACTGCTATTCAATCTATAACAGTGAAAAAAGTGTTTTGTTTTTAAATCCAAGCTTTGTGTCACCAGATCTAATTGGTGGCACTGGTCACCGTATCCACTGATAGCGTAACACACCCGCTTTAAGGACACTAACTGCTATTCAATCTATAACAGTGAAAAAAGAGTTTTTGTTTTTTAAATCCAAGCTATTGTGACACCAGATCTAATTGGTGGCACTGGTCACCGTATCCACTGTTAGCGTAACACACCCGCTTTAAGGACACTGACTGCTATTCAATCTATAACAGTGAAAAAAGTGTTTTGTTTTATTAAATCCAAGCTTTATGTCACTAGATCTAATTGGTGGCACTGGTCACCGTATCCACTGTTAGCGTAACACACCTGCTTGAAGATAACTAACTGCTATTCAATCTGGCGGGCCAGTGAAAAAGTGTTTTGTTTTGTTCAGTTATTGTGACACCAGATGTAAGTGGTGGCATTGACTGGGGAAATGGGCACAGTATGCACTGTGAGCCTGACACAGAAGCTGGCAGCAGTGGCAGACAACTGACTGCTATTAAATCTATAACAGTGAAAAAAGTTTTTTGTTTTTAAATCCAAGCTATTGTGACACCAGATGTAATTGGTGGCACTGACTGGGGAAATGGGCACTGTGAGCCTGACACAGAAGCTGGCAGCAGTGGCAGACAACCAAGTGCATTTACATTAGATAGAAAAAAAAAATCCAAAAAAAGCATACCCTTATCCCTAACCTAGCTATGCTTTTCCCTATCTTATGAACAGCAGCTACACTTTCCTCCTCTTACTAAGCATGCAGCTTGAGAATGAATCTAAAATGGATGCTGTCCAGTAGGTGGGAGGGTCTGCTAGGGAGGCTGTGCTGCTAATTGGCTGGAATGTGTCTGCTGACTGTGAGGCACAGGGTCAAAGTTTACTCAATGATGACGAATAGGGGGCGGGTCGAACCGCGCATATGTTCGCCCGCCGTGGCGAACGCGAACATGCTATGTTTGCCGGGAACCGTTCGGTACATCACTAGCGAGCACTAGGAGCATCGATTGGCGGAGGTACTCAGTCGGAGTGCCAGCGTTCCGTCACATTTGGTGGCAGCGGCGGGATGGCATCCTAGTGCGAGGACCAGCAGCTCAGAGACACCGGTAACGTGTGGAGTTACGGATTTATAATTGAGGGCAACGCTAGCCTCTGCGCAGCGTCCCTACCTACAGCAACATGGAGCTAGCAAGACCCTGGACAGCAGCCAGTGAATTGCAAATCCGCCTGTCACAGTGCTATGAGGGTGCTGATTTCATGAAGGATGTAAAGGCGCGGCTGGTCTGGTTTGGCCCAAACCCTTCAGATGAGGTGGTCCATCAAGTGATGCGCCTGTTGAGTGCTGAGAACCAAGACGCACGGAACTACGAGTACCAACTGTGGAGTTTGGGGGTATTGACACCCCTTCTCCAGCGACAGAGTGAGTTACGGGGAGAGGAGAGCAGCGACCTCCCTTCCCAGCGGCAGTGCACCGTACAGAGGGAAGAGACAACCGGTCTCTCTCCCCAGCGGCGGCCTGAGTTCCAGTAGGAGGTGATGGTAGATCCCTCCCCCGTACAGCAACCAGCGTCCTGGGGAGGGGAGGCAACCGTCCTCCCTCTCCAACAGCAGCCGGAGGTGGGCGACCTCATAGACTTGTCCTGGGGACACAGAGAGATGGCAAGCTGAGATGGGACCGAAGTCTCTCTGCCAGCCCTACAGGGATGCTGGGCAGTCAGCCCAGGTCCCCAGCGGCAGTATAATATACAGGGAGAGGAGACAACTGGTCTCTCTCCCCAGCGGCGGCCTGAGTTCCAGGAGGAGGTGATGGTCGATCCCTCCACCTTACAGCAACCAGCGTCCTGGGGAGTGGGGGCAACCAGCCTCCCCCTCCAACAGCAGCCAGAGATACCGGGAGAGGGGGAAGACAAACCTAACCACACTGGCGCAGATGGGACCGCGGTCTCTGTGCCAGTCCTACAGGGAGGCTGGACGGCGGTCCAGATCCCCAACCAACCCCGCAGGGATGCCAGGAGGAGGAGGTAAGCGAAACTTCCCCTCCCCAGCTACATCCCAACCGGGTCCTGGGGGCAGTGGATGAGCCTGCGATACCCACTGACCCCCTCCCAGCAGAAGAGCTGGCATCTGGGCAGAGCTCTGTTAGCCTCTGCCCCCCCTTTTCCCCTGTATCAGAGCCTGACTTACCACGGGTTACCCCAGTGGAAGAGCTGGCAGCAGGGCAGAGCGCCGCTGGCCTCTGCCCCCCAAGCAACACCAGCAGTTTGCCTAGCTGCACCAGGGAGACCGAGAGTGCTGCGCTGTCCCACTACCAACTTGAACCTACAGGCCAGTACCATTTATTGTGGGGGGTTACTCTGCGTATTTTTCTTTGTGGGTGGGCTGCCCGACTAATCTAGGTACTGACCGGCAGAAGGTCAGGTACCTGTTTAGTCTTCCCCCCAAAGGGAAGATGTGTGACGAAGTGCCCTTCGCCACTTGTGCCTGGAGAGGACTGCTTGCCCGCCTCTTGCCCTGTGACTATGGCCCCTGGGATGTATTGCCCTTTAAAGACATGATTTGGGCATAATGGATTTGTGTTGTGCTGCTGCTGGCCCTTTAAGAACCATCTGGGGACATACTGTGGAGTTACTGGGTGGCCACCATTTCCTGTATCAGAAGCACATGGTGAGAACAATGGATGGCGGCCATTTTAACTCACAGACACTGTTTGGACTTTTCAACACGGTGCCATCTCGCCAGTATTTGGTGCACAGAGACATCGTGCAGTGGTTTTGGACTATACAGCAGGGGACACATTATACAGTGATTGTTTTTCATTTAGCCTGTATATGTTCTGCAGAATCTGCATTAAACTGTATTTTCCAAAGTACTGAACGGATCTGGGTGAATTTTGGATATGTGGTTCACCCAGATCCCCCGGTTCCAAGGATATACTTTTTATGGGGTTATTGCATGTTTTGGGGTCCCTGTGATGTATATTTTAGAAGTTATGAATGCTGTAAAAATTGTAATGTTTCTGGCCAGCAGATAATTGAGCTTTGTGTATTGTAGAAACTCAGTTATCTAGCCTGGCCCAGAGGAGGAGTTTTGTGTTGCATAAATTGTGAGTTCTGTGTGCCAGTAAATCAGTCTTGTTCCAGCATTAAGCCTTGGCTCATGTTTGGGGGATTGGAGAAATACACTCTGGGGATTGCTATAATCACTATACTCCCCAGGGTATGATCACTGAGTTCTGCTAAGAGCTTGTTCCTGTTCTCTGAGGAAAGAGAGGTTCACCCACTGGAAGCTGGATCCTGGCCTTGTGTCCAGGGTGGGTGGAGACAGCAGAGACCCCGGCGCAGTTGCATCGCTGGAAGTGGGGTCTGCAGTGCTGATGGTGTCGGTTGGAGTGCTTGGAGTCCTCAGCGAGCACTAGGAGCATCGATTGGCAGAGGTACTCAGTCGGAGTGCCAGCGTTCCGTCACAACACCCTTTAGTTATGGCCTTGTATGTTTGCCAAGTTAAGGGAGGTCCTAAATTGAATAAAGTAAAAGAAGTGTTACTTTTTCATATATGAACTACGGTAACCCTAAAATGGAGACACTTAAGGTATAAATAGGTGTACTTTTAAATGTTAAGACACAGAGGAGAGACGTGGAGACAGACGCTGCTCCATCTTAAAATAACAGAGAGACTGACATGATCAGGAGGGTATGTTAACCTATTAATTATATTTTCAAGCATTTAGTTTAATCTTAGAAACTCTGCTATATGGATTTTATATGTCTATATTTATATTTTTATATAATAAATATCTAAAAGACAAAACTTTATTGCTTCCAAAACAATCTCTATTTTATATTGTATTCTCAATTATTTATATATGTTAAATAGAGGATCGCATACACTAACTATATAAAATGATGGCTAAGATATCTGTATGGTTAGCCCTGCCAAGTTCTATGCTTTAAGACGTTATAGTGGTAAATAAGGGAACCAGCCGCGGTTACACTTTTCTTTGTCCCAAAAAGGCTCTTGCATGCTCCCTGTTATATGGTGTATTGTTTGGTATAAAGCTGCAGTTAGCAGACACTTTCTTTTGTTATTTCAATAAAAATCAGTGGAGCGCTATCTACCTTTAACCCCTGTGGCAAACCTAGCCACTTACAGAATGTCCTTGTATATATCTTGCTATTACTGCATTGCTATTCCTATCTGTGGCCAAACCAGCCACTTAAAGTGTAACCTTCCCCCCCCCCCTGAATGTAATATGATGTAAAGTGTATCTCTGTGTACTGCTTGGTATCTCCTAAGGCGGGAGATGGTTATCTGTAACCCAACCCCCTCCTGCCTGGGACTAAGGGAAATGTGTTGTGTGGAATGCAGACCCCCCTGCGGAGGTCTCTGCTTAAAGGAAACTGTATTCATTAAAGAGTGTGACTCAGCCTTGTGAGATGCCAGTGTTTTAACCTCCAAGCTATGTGTCGTCTAGTTCTTAGGAGAAAAGGATTGTAACTACGCTACCTGCATTTTACCGACATTTTACCTGCTTCATCCTGTCTACCAGCGAAGATACCGTGGATAATACCACTACTCCGCTACAATTGGTGGCAAGCGACGGGATTGAAACTACACAGCAAGCAACGGTCGGCAGAAATTGATACGAATAGAGGAGAAAGAGCAGCAATTCGGGAGTTAACCCATTCGGATGAAACCAGAGCCAGGAACACGTGGAAACCCGCGAACAGCCGGTGAATGGGAACGAATTATGCTCTTTTAAAACGAAGCACACTAAAAGAATTGCTTGAGGCAAGGGGAGCAATAGCCAGCAACAAGGCAAAGGCTACCCTGATTGCAGAACTTATGGAAGGAGACAGAGCAGCAGCTGCTGCAGCACCTCCAATGGAGGAAGAACAAAGTGAGTTTGCAAAAGAATTCAGAATCAGAATGGCTCTATTCCCAGAGCCACCATCTACAGAGATGGTCAGCAGGCTCTTCGCAGATGTACAGGAATATATCATGCTCGGAACGGTGCAGAGGAATCAGCAAGCAGGAGAAAGAGCCACGACACCGGTCAATGTTCTCACAGGGAAAGTTAAGATTCCCTACCAAGCCTTCAAAAGCTATGCAGAGGCCGACGGTGGCGTGGACGACTACTTACAGGACTTTGAGAGGCTGTGTTTACTACATGACATCAGCGAGGCGGATCGGGTACCCCTACTAGCAGGGAGGTTATCTGGTCGCGCTGCAGAAGCGTACCGGGCAGTACCAGATGAAGACAGTAGGGACTATAACAAAGTGAAACAGGCGATTTTAGCCCGGTACGCGATCACTTCAGAGGCCTACCGCATGAAGTTCCGGGACATTAAAAAACCCACAAAGGACACTCATGTTGAATGGGCACATCAGCTACAGCGAGCTGCAAAGGGGTGGTTGGAAGCCACCCAAGTTAACACGCTGGAGGGTCTGTTCCAACTGATGGTCCTAGAGCAGTTCTTCAACGGGATCCCTGCCTACCTACAAAATTGGATCAGGGACCGAAAACCACACACCCTGCAGGAGGCTGCTAAGCTGGCAGATGAATTTCAGGATAACCGGAGAGATCAGCCCGCACAACCCCGACCAGCATCCACCTCTGCACCGGCGAGCACTGCAGGGGGCCCCATGACTCAACCACGACATGGGGTAAGTCAAAATACCTACCCCCCCAGGTACTCGGCATGTCCGCCAATTAGGTGCCACACCTGCAATCAACAAGGGCACATTCAGAGGGACTGTCCACGTAATCAATCTAGGCCCAGCTGGAATAACGCAGCACCGAGTAACAGAGCGGCCATACACTGCGTACAGGCCGAACCATACCAGATCCCAGAGACAGGAGCAACCCTAGAAGAACCGCTAGGAACCCTGCACGAGGTGAACCCCATCCAGGCCGCCTCCGATAACCGACAAGGGCACCGCCAGGAGGTGCACCTTGAGGGGAGAAAGATAAAAGGACTTCGTGACTCTGGGGCTACCTTAACCTTAGTCCGAAGTCATTTGGTACCCAAACCCAATCTCACTGGAAACTGTGTTGCGGTACGGGTGGCAGGAGGAGCCATTTACAAAGTACCTACGGCCAAGGTACACTTGAATTGGGGAGCGGGGCACGGGAACGTGTATGTGGGGATGATGCAGGACTTGCCAGCTGATGTGATTTTGGGCAACGACTTGGGGGAGCTGACGTCCGCATTTGTTCCACAGCCCACCGTACAGGAGGCATATCCGGTTGTGACCCGGCAACAGGCTCGCACCACAGCACCATCCAACCACTCTGAGGCTCAGGTAAGCAATGACCCCCCCATGCCCACTGTCATGCCATGGGCTAACCCCTTAGAGTTTGGATCGGAGGTGGCCCTAGACCCCTCCCTACAGGTATACAAAGACCGTATTGATAGAGATCAGGCAGGATTAGAAGGGGAAAGGTATATCTGGGACAAAGGACTACTGTACCGACACGCAGAAAAGGTAGTGTCCGGATCTATACCTTTACTCGTTAAGCAACTAATAGTGCCTCGGAAATATAGGTTAGAGTTATTACGTATCGCTCATGATATTCCCCTGTCTGGGCACTTAGGGATCAGCCGTACTAAGCACAGGCTGACCCAAAACTTCTTTTGGCCAGGTATTTCACAGGACGTTAGGCGATATTGCCAGACCTGTGATACCTGTCAAAGGGTAGGAAAGAGAGGAGACCGATACAAAGCACGGCTCCGGTCCCTGCCCATAATTGAGGAACCCTTCAGTAGGGTGGCAATAGACATCATAGGGCCTTTAGCAAAGCACAGCCCTTCAGGCAAGAAATATGTCTTGACCGTGGTGGATTACGCCACCAGATACCCAGAGGCAGT